CAAAGACTGTTTTAATTGTTGATTCTTCGTCTGTTATGCAATCTTCTTGCCGGCTTTCCCTTAACGATTCTTTTCTTCTTATCGGTGTTTGTTTTGTTGGAAAAGCAAATTATTTAACACACTATTCTGTGTGTGTGTGGGGCCTCCAAAACTCCGAAAACTCCCCACACTTGCACAAACAGCAGCACAGAAACGATGTGGGAGTGGTAAAACCCACCAGAGTCGAGTCAATGTGTTGATATTTTTATTTTATCTTATCTGTCATGCCTTTTTATGGTCTTGTTTGTGGAGCATTTAAGTTCTGCATTTTGTTTTTCACAAAAGTAGACAGAAACAAAAGCCCAGCACCAGGCCCAGTGCCCGGCAGAGGGAGGCTCGACAGGCCAGCCCAATCCGAAGCAAAACCGAACCATAAATGTCATTAAGTCATTAACAGGCCTTAACATGGTGTTCTCTTCATTATCTGCTTTGTTTTTCACAACTTCTTCCTCAATTTGAGGCAGATCGGTGTGGAAATGGTTTGGATATTTATGATTTCAAAATATTTACGGGGTCTGTAAAGGTGGAAACGTAGGAAGAAAGTCAGGAAAGGAAATACGACTCTGATTTGAATGGGAACTTCTTATAAATGGCATATCTCTTTTTATAGAAAGAATTGGAGCTGCGGCACACGTGACTGGACACTAAGATATCCAGCAGTCAAGAAGCAAAGGAGGAGGAATAGGAGTCTCACTGGTAGAGAGCTGGAACTGAAAAGACAGATGGTGCGCTCTATTTGAACATTCTCCCTCTAAAGCTTAGCTACTCCGTGAGAGAGAGCGGGTGTTTTCTGCATTCTGGCTATAAAAATGAACCTAGGGCAATCAGAGGCGCTAGAAAACATATTTTTCTCCAAAGAAGGTGTCTAAATCGCCCTGTCTATGGCTGCTGATCAAGAATATATACTTGTGTCTTCCTTCTGGTTGTTCCACAAATATAATATACCCCTGAAAATTCAGTAACGCTATTATTTATTGCTATCTTTTAATTACTTTTCTTCTTAGTGGCCCATCATCATAGAAACCCAACAACATCCAAGGTTTTAGCCTTACATTTTGCCTTGAATGGCCACAAATATAGGCATATAGTAGGCGGTATTGCAAACCAAAGTCTAGTCTTTCTGCTTGGGTATTTCTAGCTGATAAGTCACTTATTTGTTTCTTCACTTATGGCTGCTTGTGCCACTTCAAATCAATCACTAAATGTTAGTATAACCCAAAAACCTTATCGATAGACGGCCTCCCACTTGGGGCGTGGGCATGGGAACGAACAAGACATAATCATTGGCGGCGCCTAGGCTCTGTTTCTTCTTTTGTTTTTCTTTCGATGGGTATTTGTTTTCTTTCTTCGACTCTGATGCCGGGAATAGAAGTACTATTCGTAGAGATTAGCACAGAAATTGAAGCGTGAGAGTGGGGTGGCGTGGGGTGGGGAGGGGTATATAGATTACACTTCAACAAGCGTTGATTTTTCTGGCGCTGGTGCCACAGAACAATGACAATGTCTGGGCACATCGCATGTTTATTTCCATATTTGGAAAGAAAAAAGTGCGCAATACACAATGACGTCATTGTGAGACAGCCTCCCTGGAATGATTGATAGGTGATCTTTAATCGTATGATATACTTAATTGTTTAAGGAAGCAAACGTTTCCTCTTACTCAAAGGGTGTCTCATTTATTATTTGCAAAAATAAATTACATTTTATTTATGGTACTTTTGTGGGGCCTTCTTCGTTTCTTTCTCTGCCCGTTCTCAATGCAACGTGACTCAGTATCCGCCATCTGAAATCCGCAGTCCGTAATCCGCAAATTGTGTGCTCATATCCCACTTTATGACAAGTGAAAAGCAGAAGCAGAAGCAGCACCAGCCACAGCCACGGAAACAATGGGAACGGAAGGATTCTAAAGATAACCTAAGGGAAATGTCATAGGATTTGAATGAAATGCGCCAACTGTTGGGGGTCTCGTTTCTGAATGATGAATAAGTAGACAAATCATCTGGGGGCGTACAAACGGAATTTCATTGAGGTAAAAATATGTTTCTGATGCTAATTGGGGACCTCATTTATTTTTTCTAATTCCTTTTTGTTTCTTTTCCGGCAAAAGTGAAGAAAACCAGAAGAAAACGTTTGAATCGCGGCACAAGTGCCTGAACACTAAGATATCCTCGGAAATACTTCCTTCTAGGTGTTAAAAATCGAATAAACCCGTGCAGTCTTTTAAAAGCATTCATTCTATTCAAGATTTCACATCGTTTCAGGTCTAAGAAGGGGAATATTAATGTAAGGCTAGTTTTTGCGCTCTCCCACTTCAACGGTTATATAACTTGACAGTCACACGGGAACATTGAATGATAAAAAGGAGCAAAACCTCTTTCAAGCAAAATTCAGAACGATTGGCTTGTGGAGCGGCATATAATGAAACAAAAGAAAGCGTTTACATCATGAAAACCTTGTATAACTCAACTTTGACATGTGACTGGCACAGTCAGTGTTGCAAAAAACACCATTCAGAAGATAAATTTTGTGTAAAATTTCATATTTTTAAAGGACCTTCCTACAGCAGTAATGCAGATTGTCCTTTCATGGCTAATCATTCGCTATGGAAAGATTTTCCATCAAGCAAACGATATATCCGTGTTACCAGTGTTGGATAACTCCATATAGCATCTAAAAATCTCTGGAATATATGGTGGTCTTTTAAATTTTAGCAAGAAAAAATACAAAACGTACATGAATATGTTCTCACACAGCCCCAGATATCTGTTGCATCTCTACCTTCATTCCCTTTGTCTCTCCCTCACACAGAGTAGCTTAGCAGCAAACGGATGTACAACATTATGCTGACTTTCACTCGAGACAGACAGAAAGAGAGATTGCGGAGGAAGGAAAGGCTTACTGGCGGTCTGTGTCACACAGCCAGACATCCAAAGCAGACCGCCTGAAGGCCCGAATGTCATTTCGGTGATTGAGTTGAATAATTATAATTATTATCTCAACGCAAACAAAATCGTTGGTATTTTTTGTTGTTTTTTACACTTATTTTTCATGAATTGGCAAACAATTTATGGCATTTTTGAAGTGTGGCATTCGCTGCGTGTGTGCGTGTGTCTGTGTGTGTGTGAGCCGAGATAAGCACTCCCATACAATTGCGGAAAAATGTCTGCCATTTGGTAAACAACACAAAAGCAGCTGATAAGCAGCTAGAGAGCAGGCTGCCTGAGAGAGCGGGGCGCTGGAGAGCTCATAAAAATATCAGCCCGATGCCTCGTATAAAATTTTATATTTTATTTTATTTTTTTCCCCCGCCAAGGTCAAAAGCAACAACAACAGAATTCAACGCATAAATTCTGTGGCAAACAAAAGTTGCGGGCTAGCGATGGAGGGGCGCAGAGAAACAGAAATGAAATCCGTTGGGGGGGGAGGGAAAATACTTTCACAAAGAGACAGAGAGAGAATGCGGGAAAACTTTTCTAGAAAGGAATTCGAAAGAAAGAAAAGAACTGCAGTGAAAATGAAACGAAAGTGTGTGTGTGAGTGTGCCTGTGTGTGTGCGTGTGTGTGGGGAGAGAAGAGCAATTGAATTGACCCAAATGACCATTATGGGTGGCAAGCGGCAAGTGGCAAGAGTACCAGCCACTGTCTCTCTGCATCTTTCAATTGATATTCGTGGAAAAGGAAAAGTTGATTGACTTTAAATGAGGCATGCAACATGTGGCCACCACAGACACGACACAAAATGTGTCACACAGCCAGAGTTCCGCTTTCGGTGGGTTTCTATTAACAATTGAGGCTTTGATTCTGGCCACAAACGAAAGCGTTGCCATCATATAATGTTCACACGTGACTGGCACTGCCAGTGTTGGTAAACTCCACTGAGAAGCTAGAATTTTATGTAATTTAACATATTTTAATATTGTCGTGTGTCGTCTTTTCTCTGCATGCCATGCATTGCCATCATTCAACGTTCTATTACTCAACGTTCACACGTGACTGGCACTGTCAGTGTTGGGAAACTCCACTAAGAAGCTAGTAGTGCATTTATTTAACATTTTTTAAAGACACAAAGTTCTATTACTGTTATTAGTGTTAGAAAACTTCACTTTCTGTGGTTTTACTACAGAAATAATGTTTCAAATTGTCGAATCTCTATGCTTTCCTCTTGTTTATGGCTTTTAGGTCTGGAGTGGTAACATTTTCGATGCCAATAGATAGATTAGATTGCCTCCAATCGGATTATTCGCTGAGGCCATCAAGATTACAGCTATAAATGTCGTTGGCTTTCCATTCATGAAGTTCATTGAAAGCCCACGAAAAATCAATTGTCATCATCTTGGAGGATTGTTCATTCTACTCTTCGTTTAATTGGGTCTAAATATAGAATCGCCTCCATTGATATCCACGCTGAGAGGCAGCCTCTCGCCACCACAAAGCAAAATTCAATTCAATTGAACTAAATTCGTGCCTCAAGCACACACACACACACAGCTGAAAGACAGAGGGAGATGGAGTAGGGGTCCACCATCCGCCATCCACCATCCACTTGATTGAATTGTATCTTTTGGTGGCTCTGTCCGAGTATCTTTCGATGGGCCTTTCAATTGCTCTGTTGGCTATTTATGGACTGATGTCCAAGACTGGACCTGAGACCTTGCCCAATCGAGATTAAGAATGGATCTTCAACAGCAGGCAACCGCTTTCATGGTCAAAAGTTCAAAAACGTTTCGTTCAGTCCATGACGTCGCGTCGTCGTCTCTCCACCTTTATTTTTTGTTGTTGTTGTATTATGTTTTTCAGTTCCACTGATAAGACTTTAATTTAATTTATGACATTTTTTTGTCCATTATAAAGATTAGCGATTTCATGTTATCTCCGTTCTTATCTATTTTATGACCTGATTGGTCATATTAATATAACTCTGATGTAAAAACAATTAGAAATTGAATTGGAAGTGGACTTACCATTGCCTGTTCGATTTTGTTGTCAATCGCAACTGCACTTGTTCCAGATGCACTGCAAGAAAATTATGGGTAGAGTAAAGAATTGTTTAATATTTTGTGGACATGGAAAAATGTATAAACAATCTCAATAAAATCTTAAAAAATATAGGATCACCCCTTTTCTCACTAAATCTCCCTCGCAGAGTAGCTCAGCCATACAGGATAAATCTTTAAAATTATTTTGCTGCCATATTGAACCTTTCACAATGGTGGGTATCGTTTTTAATTATCATACGCATCATTTTGATCACATTTTCATCGTCTCTTCTCCAACGATTTAATAGCCTCATCATCTATTAAACAGTCTATTAACTCAAGCCTCAATTAAAAACAAATCAAGCAATTTTTAGGCGCCTGAAGACTTTTTCCCCCAGGTGGGTGATCGTTGGGAGACCTTCGACAGCACGCTATTTTTGGCAATGTGACCTTGCTGCCAGACAGATAGACAGACAGCCCGCAAATTGAGGTCAATATGACAATAAAACTTCCTCGATGCCGAGTTAAAGGTGAAGCCTCCCCTCCCCTCCACTACCCGCCACTAATCTAAGCTCCCCATCTAATTGCAATGCCAAATGAGCAATGAAATTGTCATGAGGCCAGAGTGAAAGATGAATAGATATCTCATTTTGATTTCGATCGAAACCCAACTCTCCTTCAATCAATCAATCAATCAAGAGCTACGAAATAAACTCTCCTTAAGTATGGAATGCAAATTACAGTATTTTTACAATAAATTTCAAAAGAATTATGCAACACTGGCGTAAACTGGCGTCATCCGACAACACTGCAATTTTCCAACTCAATTTCAAGTCACATAAAAGCTTGTAAAAGTTGATTTCTTCTATGGTTCTAGGCAACAAAATATCTGCTCACCTTGAAGTATCAGAAAGATACAAATGGAACTGGTCGAAGATCAACTCTAATAGCGGCGTCTTTTGAGCACACAAAAACCGTTCAAGGACCCAACAAATTGCTTAATATACGCTCGAAAACCCCCTCTAAAACGGCTTAAATTAATCGTACTTTTACCCAGATACTCGCATCTGAAATTTTATTTGAGAGAGCGAATGTAGAAACTCTGTAGAGCAATGAACCCACACAGAAACACGGCCATGATCTTGGCTCAAGACAACAACTTTTGCCACACTTTATAACGATGTGGGGGTACCGTCTATCTGTCTGTCTGGCTGTCTGTCTATAATTCATCAACCAGCATGGCGTTTTTGGTTTTGTTTACTGCCACTGCCACTGGCACTCTGTCAGCTGGCACGCAATAATTTCTAATTATAGGAATGGCCTATGTTCCACGGGAGTGTGTGTGTCATCAAATGTCAGATGGCTTAAAGCCGCAATTGTGGGCAGAGCATTCGACGAGGGAGTTCAATGAAGTGCCAAAGAGGGCTGTGAGTCAATTGGAAGGGTACGATAGATTCTTAGATGGTTAGTCAGGTACTAGGCCTGCAATTTTAGATATGTTGGAAGCTCAAGAACTTAACCAAGAGAAGGCGTGTGGGACCCAAATAGTACAGGGCCTTGGACTCGTGCACCTGTGGATAGTTCGTGATGCAGTGCCCCATTTCGATGTATCCCTAAGGACTCTTGCCAGTGAACAAAAAATACAACTAATTTTAAACATAATTCACATGGAAATATTATATATCCTCTGCTCACTAATTTTCATTAAAATAATTTTGGTTTTCACGATTACGTTCCATAAAAAAATATGTATATATTCCACATTCCACCATAAAAAAAATGTGTACTCTCATGATTAAAAACAGTTTTTTGATTTTTTTTGTGGCTGCCCGGCCTTTTGTGTTGAAATGCATTTTTATTTACGATTGCGGGTATACGGAATGGATTGGAATGGAATGGGAAATGAGGCAGAAGATGAGATGCGATGCGATGAGACTTTGGGCATGGAATGGATTTGCAGCTGGCAGAATAATTAAAGTCAGTGGCAATAAAAAGCCGAGACGAGGAGCGCCGCATCAGAAAAACAGAATCATTTAAAAGGTGGCTCGGCAAAACGGCACGGAGACGAGACTCCACCCTGAGTCATGGCCGACAAGGACGCGAAACGGACAGTTTTTTAACCTGAAAGGAGGGCCAAGCCAAGGGCCGTTGTCGGTCTTTTTTATGACTTTCCATATCTCGAGAAAAGTAAAAGTCTTGGCCCCCCCGACCAGCAGGCGGTCGAGTGCAATGACTCATGTCGTGACTTTTGTTCTCTTTCTTTTGGCACAAAAATACGAGTGCGAGAAAAAAAAAAGCAGAAATAAAACAACATTTATTTAGTCAATGTCATACGCGGACAGCGGTCAATGGCGCCTTTTGATATGGTTATTGTTGCTTTATTTGCATGGAGGAAAGGGGCGAGGAAGGAGTTGTTTGGGGGAAACCGTTGCGCGTGGCAAGAGAATGAAAATTCCAATTGGTCACGGGGAACGATGGGAACGAACAAGTCATCGGAATGGGAATCGGAATCGGAGGCTAATTGAGGGAATTCCAAAGCAGTTCTATTGTTTTACTGTGGTACATTCCTGCTCTGAGCGAGACCTTGACATTGCCCTTGTTTTACACTCAAAGAAAATCCTTCGGACTTGCTTGAGCAACAAAAAGAGAAATACCCTCGATGGAAGGCGATTTATCAAGAATTTACGGACAGAAAAATATAAGATTTCACTGCTGTTGTAATAATTAAATCTATTAACATTATACAGATTACAGTTCCCAAATTGAACTTTTTTTTAAATTATATAATTTTTTTGAAAATAAAATTGATTTTTTTAAATTTATTTAAATAACGAATATTTGATTAAAATAATATGTAATTAATTTAATCGGTATTCATTATTTTTTAATTTATTTATATTTATTAATATTCATTTAATATTTATTTAATATAATTTAATTTAAATTTTTCTCTGAGTGTAGTTTCAGATTTTCATGCAAGTTTCTTTTTCAAATGCCAACAGTATTCCCCCGTTTGTAGTCCCCTCCTGCGCCCCTGAGACTCCAGCAATCACCCCACAGCTGGAATCATCATTAGAGCTTTTATTGCTATGGATTTCTTATCATCCTCCCATCAGGTGCTATCAGCAGGCCTCCCGCCTCCTGCTGTACAAATTGAGCAGAAGCAGACGAAAGAAAGAACACACAACATAGCGGAACAAGCAGCAAAGCAAAAAAAAAACGAAGCACACCACAAATAAATAAATAGGGGCGAAAAGAAGTACAAAGTTTATTAAAGTTCAAGCGCTGTGGGCCTCCGACTGCTCATCAAAAACAAGAAATGATGTCATTTATTTATTTATTTGTATTTTGTTGTTGTTTAAATTTCAAGATTATTTTTATTTTAGTTTTCTCTACGCTTCTTCTGGTTTTTTTTTCATGCAATTTTATTTATCAAATCACGTGATGAATGAACTGCTTTATACTGCTTGAAACAAAAAAATAGAAAAAGGTGTCAGTGACAAAAACAAAATGCAAATTTCAAGAAACGAAAAACCATAATAATGCAAAGCAGACGAAAAAAAGACAATAAAATTAAATAAATGAAGCGCGATTTTAGTTTACTTTTTTTTTTGGCTTTGGGACAAGCTTTAAGCTGTGTTGTGTTTTGAGCTTTTTAGCGGTATTTTGGGTATTCATATCATTAAGAACTCAAAGAAACATTGATAAAATACACTTAGTTCCTAAATAGTGGATCTTTGAATGTAGAAATCTTTAAAGCAGACACGGGAAAGCCAGGTGTTCAAGCAGCCAAACGATAGGTGCGTCTCAACTGGTTGTTTTTTTTTTTTATTCTAGCTATAAAAATGTTCCAATCATAAAAGCAATCTAGTAATAAACAGTTTTAGTTGTTTTTTGTTGATTTTTAAAACCATTAGACGAGGTTTTATTTTGTATTTGTTCATTCATATTCATTTAAGAACATAAATCGGTGTTTATAGGACAAATATTCGTCGACGAATGAGAAATGTGTCTGTCTATTAAATTCAGAGTTGAGTTCCTTTAAAAATCCAAAAAATTAACTGGAATTGGTCTCCTAAAAATCTATTTTCAGGCCTGTTTGACAGTCTCCTATGCTTCACCTTTCATCCTCCCTGTGCAACCCATTTCTAAGCCCACTAAAACCCCTTAGATAACCCTTAGACATCGCCCTATTCCAAGTAATTCCGTATAGTGCCATACAATGTGCAAGTTTGTTTTGATTTGTATTTCTTAATTTATTTTCTTTAATTTTTTTGTTGCATTTCTGCTGGCGCCACTCGCTCGAACGTGCCACTTTTCCCTTCTCTGGCACTTGCAGAGAGAGAGAGAGAGAGAGACGACGCGTCGTCAAATTACACGATGCCAATTGGCATGTAAATTTGGCCGAATCGAAGTCGAGTCAAATCGAACCCGTGCGATAAGCGAATTATCGCTGGCCCAGAGCCAAGTGCCCGGCGCGGCGGCCAGGTTAATCCCTTGAATGTCGCTGCTCTTTGGCATTTTCTCTTCTGCGGGGCTATTTTCATTCCGTCCGCATCGGACGCACCCAAATATCAGGCGACAGCAGTTCGACATTCCCGAAATTTTCAATACTTGCGGATGTCGCGCAATGGTTTTGGCGGTTTCGCTCCCCTCCCCCTCGGCCAGACATACAAATCGCTCTTCCAGCACTTTTCACAGACAATTGTTTTCCGCCGATTCGGCAAAAAGAGCAGCCCTCCAATGGAGGGGGAAGAGATATTGAGCTTTTTTGCTGATGCAAAATATTTCTGGTAAAGGGAACTTGGCATACATATTTATGCCATACATATATCTACTCGATTTCCCGGTGACGACTGAACGGCGAACATTTCTCAAGTGTTTATTTGCATTTCGGGGTGTCTCGAGGGCCGGGTGACGATCTTGAGAGCTGAGACTCCATGGAGCACCCCCGGATCTCTGGTGACAGAGTGTGTTTACGACTCCAGGAAGTTGAAGTTGACAGTCATACAAATTGTTGTGCAAAAAAAATAAAAA